TCACTTTGTGTTGCCCAGGCACCCCCCTTCCAGGCCAGCTCACTCTGCCCTTTCGACTTCTGGCATATCAGTGCCCATTCTTAACTATTTAAGTGTATATATGAGTGTGTTCCTAGAATGTGTATGTGTGCAAGATGACAAATACAAATACTAAGATGGAAAATGAAAAAAAAATTGGGAAAATTCTGTAGATTTTTTTCTCCATTTTTTATGGAAGAGGAATGCAATGTGCACTGTGATTTGTGTATATGCGTGTGTGTGTGTGTGTGTGTGTGTGTGTGTGTGTGTGTGTGTGCCAGTGCTGGGGCTTGAACTCAGGGCCTGGGTATTGGCTCTGAGCTTTCGTTTTTTGTTTTTTTTTTTCTTTTGGGTCCGGTGATGGGGCCTGAATTCCGGGCCTGGGCGCTGTCCCTCAGCTCTTCAGCTCAAGGCTAGTGCTCTACCACTTGAGCCACAGTGGCACCTCTGGCTTTTTCTTTTTGCTTATGTGGTGCTGAGGAATCGAACCCAGAGCCTCATGCATGCAAGGCAAGTGCTCATTGTTACTTCTGGCTTTTTGGTGGTTCATTGGAGATGAGAGTCTCACAGACTTTCCTGCTTGGGCTGGTTTTGGATCCTCAGATCTCGCCTCCTGAGCAGCTAGGATTACAGTTGTGAGCCACTAGTGCCTGGCAGTGCTCATTTCTTTTATCATAAAGTTTATTGCTCTGAACTTATGACCACCATGCACCGACTTCAAACATTTTTTACTTCCTCACAAGACTCTGTGAAGTTCAGACATGTGACAGTCCTCTATAACACTAGGCTTTGTTATCACCACTAGATACTAACTGATCAACTCTTCTATTGATGGAACTCATTTCATGTTCAACAAGCATTAACTTAATACTAATTATAGCAGGGGCTCTATAAGTCAGGTAAAAATAAATATTTCTTACCAGGAGGGCAAATACATGAAATAAGCCCTAAGTTGAGTTATTTAGGAGCATAGAACAGGAAACATTTAATTACACCCAGGGGAAAGAAGCTTAGGAAAAGTAGCGTGGATAGAGAAAGTAAGCCAGGATGAGAAAAATGATTGTTGGAAGTCAAGAGAGAGTTCTGGGAAGAGCATATTTTCTTGACAGAAGGATGAAAACTAAAACAAAAGACATGAAGAACAGAGTCCCAGGAATTAGTTTTGAATTTGTAAAACTGTGTGCCCTCCTAGCCACACAGGGAGCAGAGAGGAAAAAGACCTGACCTTAAGAAGTTTGAGGGGTTGTTTTTTTCTTTTCTTTTTTTGTTAGTTGTGGGCCTTGAATTCTGAGCATGGGCATTGTCCCTGAGCCTCTTTGTGTTTAAGGCTAGTGCTCTGCCACTTGAGCCATAGTTCAACTTCCAGTTTTCTGGTGGCTAATTGGAGATAAGAGTCTCACGAGGACTTTTCTGCCCAGGCTGCTTTGAACCACAGTCCTAGGATCTTAGCCTCCCGAGTAGCTAGGATTGCAGGTGTGAGCTACTGGTGACTGGCTAAGAAGTTTTATTTTTAATTTTTAAATTCTTTTAATAATCCTTCTCTTTTCCTCCTTCGTTCCTTCCTTCCTTCTTTCCTTCCTTCCTTTTTCCTTCTCTCCTTTCCTCCCTTATCCCTTTCCTCTCTCCTTTCTCCTTTCTTTCCTTCCTTAAATACAGGACCTCCTACTTATAAGACAAATGTCTTATGTTTGAGCCATAATCTCAGCCATATTTTTAAAAAATAGGCTCTTCTGAACTTTTATCTGGCTCAACCTTGAGCTTCAATCCTGAGTGCCTGGGATTATGGCTTCTTTTTGAAATATTTTTTATTGTAAAGATACTGTACAGAGGGGCTACAGTTACATAAATAAGGTAATGAGTACATTTCCTATTGAGCATTGTTACCTCCTCCTTTGTTTTTATGGCCTTATTTTTTTTGTCAGTTGTGGGGCCTGAACTCTGGGCCTGGGCTCTGTCCCTCAGCTATTCAGCTCTAAGCTAGTGCTCTACCACTTGAGCCACAGCGCCACTCCCAGCTTTTTCTGCTTATGTGGTGCTGAGGAATCGAATCCAAGGTCTCATGCATGTAAGATAAGCGCTCTACCACTGAACCACCTTCCCAGCCCCTTTATGGCTTGTTTCTGAAACAGAGTCTTGCTGACTTAAAATTTCTCTGTCCTTAGGCTGGCCTTGAACGATGATCCTCCTATCTTTGCCTCCTGCACAGTTGGGATTATAGGAATGAGCTTTCATGCCCATGGAGTTTTCAAGGGCATTTGAAAAGCAAGAAGTAATGATCTGATTTCATCTAGTAGGATTGTATTGACCTGCTTTTCTAGTACTTCCCCAGAGGCATGGAACTTAGGATTGGAGATCTGGCTTGTGTGACTAGTGACTAACAGCCTGGAAGAAGAGGAATATTAGAAGAAAATGGTTAACAACAGCACTTTTACTTACTCTGTTTGAGATATTGTATTAAATGTTTTGTAGTCAACACCTCATTTAACACTCAAATTGACCTTTTAGGCAGGAGCTGTTATCATCCTAGAAACAGGTTAAGAAACATTCATTGATTCAACACACATCACACAGCCCATGAATGGGATTTGAATGCAGGATGGATCCCAAAGCCTATGATTCTAACAGCTATATCAGACTGACTCTGCGGGGGGGGGGAATGTTTTAGAATAGGGTAAGTTTGGTATGGCTAGGGACAGCCAGCCTTTTAATAAGGTTCAAGAGTTATGAGTATAGATCAGAAAAGCTAATTCAGGCATCATTTAATAGAGTTGTAAACCAAAGATAAAATTTGGAGAACTTTTTGCTCTTTGGTGAGTTGTAGGGTTTAAACTCAGGGCCTGGGCAATGTCCCTGAGATATTTTGTTCAAGGCTAGTGCTTTACCACTTTGAGCTACAGCACAGTTTTCTGGTGGTTAATTGGAGATAAGAGTCTCATGGACTTTCCTGTCCTGGCTGGCTTTGAGCAGCAATTCTTAGATCTCAGACTTCTGACTAGTTAGGATTAGAGGTGTGAGCCACCAGCACCTCACTGGAGAACTTTTTTATGATTCAGAGTTAGCCTACCTGGTGGCTGAAGCCTATAATCCTAGATAATAGAGATATTGTGGCTCCAGACCAACTTGGGGCTAAAAGTTTGCATGCACTTGTCATCTTAGGCTATGGGGAGAAGCGTAATGGCTGGCTACAGTGACATGTGTCATTCTGTTGACATTTGCAACAAAGGAAAGCACAGTTAAGAGAATCACAGTCCAGTTATCTTGGGCTTAAAGTAAGATCCCATAATGAAAATAGCTCCTGTAAAAGGACTGACAGTGTGGTTCAAGTGGTAGAGTATCTGGATAACAAATGTGAGGCCCCGAATTCAAACTCTGGGAAAAGTACTTTACAATTTGATAATTGGCAGTTCTCTGAAAAAATGAGATGCAAAGAGCTCTTAGTACTCATTACCTAATGCAGAAGGGAGACAGGTACCTTGGTTTTATAAGTAGGGTCTAGATGACATAAAAATGGCATCCATTGTAGTAAACAAAGATGAAACTTTGATTGGACATTTGAGTGAGGTTGAGTTCAGAATGAAGTTAAAGTCAGGTTTAATTATATATATATATATGTATATATATATATATATATACATATTTATTGTAAACATACAGAGGGGTTGCAGTTATATGGATAAGTTAATGAGTATATTTCCTATATAGCATTGTTACCTCTTCCTTTGTTTTTCCCCTACCATCCCTTCCCTCCTCACCTCCCCAACCTCTCCCCGCCCCACCTGAAGCTGTAAAGTTTATTTTCAACATAGTGTCTTGTACATCTCATTGTTACAATGGGTCAGCCTGTATTCCTATTTAAGCATTTTGTTTTTTTCCCCTTCCCCTCTCCAAATTAGAAAAATGTGTATACAAGATACAGGACACTGACATCAAATACAGTGAAAACAGGGGATACAAAGCAACAAAAAAATATGGTACATTATAAATACATTAGAAACAATAGCAAGAAAGAATAAACCACTTGTATCCTTATCTTGGGGTTCATTTCACTTAACATCATCTTATGAGGTCATATGCACATAGCTTTTGACCTTTTCTGCTTGTCCTAGTCATGCACTAGTTTTTGCAGATAAGGGAAACCATGGGACCTATGTTTCTCTGGGCCTGGCTTACTTCACTTAATATAATTTTTTCCAAATCTTTCCATTTCCTAACAAATGGGGTGATGTCATTCTTTCTGACAGAGGCATAGAATTCCTATATCTATATCTGTATCTGTATCACATTTTCTTGATCCATTCATCTACTGAGGGGCATCTGGGTTGGCTCCATATCTTAGCTATGTAAGGTCAGGTTTTTATGGGAGAAGATTGATCACAATTAAAGATGTTACTTATTTTAGATTAAGATTGAAATATCTATTAAGTATCATGTGAACATTAAAATTATGGTTAAGTCTAGAATTGCAAAGAACATTACATTAGTAATGAAGTTAGGTTTCTGTGTTAATCTATGATACTGCTGGTATTGCTAGTATTTTTTATTTGGACTGTCATTCAGCTTGAAATGGTGTAATGAGTTGATTCTATTTATAATCCATATTAAGAAGCATAGAGATGTGTAAGTGTTGGATAAGATAGAGGCAGTGATGGGAGCTTTTTTTTTAATTATATAAGACCACGCATGTGCGGTGGGTGGCTTTTCTTGGAAAAATGGATGATTTCACTTGTTATCAGGATTGCCTGTGCTGGTGGGGTCAGGGCTAGGTCTGAGCCAGTCTGTATCCGGTGCTTGTCTTATGGTTAGATTGAGTTTAGGACAGGATAGGAGTTTGTATAGATAACAGAATTAAAGTATGAGTTTGACAATAGGACACTGGGAAAGAGGGAGGTGTGGCATTGGGATTTTGGACAATCTGACAATGGCTCACTTTTGTATTACAGCCTCTGCCTGTCTGACCCTGCCCACAGTTAAGCGCCTTCAGGATGAGGGGCCCCAATGGCACTGAATCGAGTGCAACGCATTTCATCCTCATAGGCCTGCCAGGCTTGGAGGAAGCTCAGTTCTGGCTGGCCTTTCCATTGTGCTCCCTCTATGTCATTGCTGTGCTGGGTAATCTGACCATCATCTACGTTGTCCGGACAGAGCACAGCCTACACGAGCCCATGTATATCTTTCTTTGCATGCTTTCTGGCCTCGACATTCTCATCTCCACCTCATCCATGCCCAAAATGATGGCCATCTTCTGGTTCAATTCTACCGTCATCCAGTTTGATGCTTGTCTGGTACAGATGTTTGCCATCCATTCCTTATCTGGCATGGAGTCCACTGTGCTGCTGGCCATGGCCTTTGATCGCTATGTGGCCATCTGCCATCCTCTACGCCATGCCACTGTGCTCACGTTGCCTCGGGTTGCCAAGATTGGCATGGCCGCTGTGGTCCGGGGCGCTGCCTTAATGGCACCCCTGCCTGTCTTCATCAAACAGCTGCCCTTCTGCCACTCCAATACCCTGTCCCATTCCTACTGCCTACACCAAGATGTCATGAAACTTGCCTGTGCTGATATCCGTGTCAACGTCATCTATGGCCTCATTGTCATTATCTCTGCTATTGGCCTGGACTCACTTCTTATCTCTTTCTCCTATCTGCTTATCCTTAAGACTGTGCTGGGCTTGACACGTGAAGCCCAGGCAAAGGCATTTGGCACATGTGTGTCTCATGTATGTGCTGTGTTCATATTCTATGTGCCTTTCATCGGATTGTCGATGGTGCACCGTTTTAGCAAGCGACGCGACTCTCTCCTGCCTGTCATTATGGCCAATATCTATCTGTTGGTGCCTCCAGTGCTCAACCCCATCGTCTATGGAGTGAAGACCAAGGAGATCCGGCAGCGCATCCTTCGTCTTTTCCATGTACCCACACGCACTTCAGATACTTAGAAATTGGCCATCAAACTTCTTTTCCCCTCAAAATCCTCCAGTTCGGATTTCACTATGGACATTTTGGAAGGCAGTGTTAAGAAAACAAATCTTCCTTAACTAAAACACATCTAGGATTCTTCAAAGATGAAACTGGTTGGGAAATCTCATGAAAAGTCACTGCAGGACCATATACCTCAAACCCCATTTTGCAATATTATTTTCCCACTTTGTTTTTTTCTTTCATTTTTTTTTCCTTTCTATGATTATAAAAAACCTAAGTTACTTGTTCACAGAGGGTTATAATTTCCCATTTGATCATTGACTCCAAATATAAGTTATTTTCCTTGGTAGTATATAACATTGTGAGGTGAAGATACACATCTAAAGAATAGTCACCAAACGTTTAATGTGATCAAAGGAAAATAAGCGCAAAGATGTAATAAAATTAGATAATCTGGTTTAAAACTCTGACTTCTGCTTCAAAATTTCTGATCACTTTTGTAACTCAGGAAAGAAGTTATACCTGAATTTAAAACAACCTTCATAGAGAAGAAATAATTGTTTTGCTTCTGCATACCAGGCCTTAAGGGAAAAGCTAGAAAGTAAAGATTTGAAAAGGCTAAATTTGCTTACAATAAGAAAAGATGATATGCTTTGTTATGAGAATTTTCACAGTTCACAGACACTCTTTTCCTCATTTAATTTTCTTATCAACTCGACTTAGGCAGGATACTTTTAAGTATTCTCATTGTGCCAATGGGGAAACTGATGTTTCCTAGGGAGAGAATCGTATAAATCCAGAAATAAAAAAGTAAGACATTTCATATCCAATTCTTTATTGAGTGGAAGGACACTTAGAGATACAAATAGCATAGTAATTTCCAGAATCTTGATTTTTCTAAATGAGGTATTTAATCCAGTTGCTCTAATCACCTTGGGTTGTACTGAAGAATTTCCCATTAATAGTACTCGTGGCTTTCATGCCAATAGCTGTGTTTATTATCCTGGTCCAGAAATGAATCTGAAGAGCTACCGAACAGGCTTGTTTGTGGGGGGTTGGTGATGGGTTCCTTGGGATACAGGAGACACTAAATGAAGAAAAGCAGGGGAGAACATGTAGCCAAGTAAGCCCAGATAGCTGGCCAGGAAGCAAGGCTAAAAGAAAGATGGGTCCACAGAAGTAATCCACAGCCTATTCCACAGCCTATAACAGACACCACACATCTTGCATTTGACCATAGAATCCAAATCTAAGTTATTTTCATTGATAGTACATAGATAGAATTATAAGATGAAGATGTACATCTAAAGACCAGTCACTAAAGGTTTAATGTGATCAAAGGAAAATAAGCACAAGGATGCAATAAAATTAGATAATCTGAGCTTAGAAGCTTATAACACTGATGACTGTGTCACAACACCATAGGACAGAGTCATAACATCTGTACACATCCTGTACAGCTAGCCTAGAGGTGTCTCTGAGGCCTATGAGGGAGACTTGCAAGCCAGATACCACACTTGTAAGTGTGGGTTGGGCACTGTAAGAGTACAGGAGAAAAAGACTAGAAAGGTCCTAATCAGACCCAAAGTGAGGCAGGTGAGTATAAGAGGCGGCAGTGCAGCAAGCAGCACATGGCATGTAGCCCACCAGAGTTTTCTGGCCAGAGCTAATGACATAGAGATATACCTGGAAGACATGGTACAGAGGCTGCACATTCAAATTTGAGCTGTACTCCAGGAAAATGAAGATGATCTATGTGCATTGTGGAACTGGCTAGGCCCAGGAGAATAAGTAGCCGAAAGAAGTAGGAGCATACACTGGGGTTAGTGCAGGCTCTGGTCACTTTGAATACAGAGACAGTCATCTCATTGGCTTGAAGTGCCTCAACATTGGGATTGAAAGAGAATGAGAGAGAAATAAAGTTATGATGATCATCTCTAGTAAAAAGGTCACCTGTAAAGAGTCAAGGAAATGTGGTTAGGATTTTGGAGTTTATTCTCGAGTTTAATATGCCTTTTTATGCATAAAAAATGCTTGTGTCTACTCTATATTTGGAATATTCTTGGGGGCATACGTAGATGGATAATAAATAGATGAATCAAACTGACCTATTTCACAGTGTTTCCCTCCTTGGGGATTCAGCCATTATCCTAGGGTTTATTTGTTATTTTTTCCTAGCCTTTAAATTGTTTCTCTCCCTATATTTTTTATTAGCATAAACTAGTTGTACAAGAGAGTGTCATTTTGACACGTCCACATAAGCATGAGCTTTGAGCAGACTTGACCCGCCACCACACTCCCCTATCCCCACTCTGATCCCAAACTCATCTCCACAAGCTTCATTGTTCTATGTTTGCACTTGTACCTGAAACATTTTGATCATGTTCACTCTTTTTTTTAAATATTTTTTTAAATGTAAACACAGTGTACAGAGGGCTTACAGTTACATGAGTAAGGTAATGAGTCCATTTCCTATTTTCACCCTCTCTATTCACCCGCTCCTACTTATACTTTCCCTCCTGAAAGATCTGTTTTATGTTCCCAGTGTCCATTCGTTTTTAGTATATGTTGATGGTTCAAAGGGTTTTCACTGTGGTCTTTCATACATGAGCATATTGCTCATGAAGGGATTCCAAGTCTATGATGACAATGGCTTGGATCCCAAATCACTGAAACATTTTGTGGAAGTAAACATATAGACTATCATCACCACCTCCTACTCTTCCTTTATGCTTTTTTTTTTCTTTTTGGGTCCGGTCATGGGGCCTGAACTCTGGGCCTGGGTGCTGTCCCTCTCTTCAGCTCAAGGCTAGCGCTCTACCACTTGAGCCACAGCGCCACTTCTGGCTTTTTTCTTTTTGCTTATGTGGTGCTGAGGAATCGAACCCAGGGCCTCATGCATGCAAGGCAAGCGCTCTACCACTGAGCCACCTTCCCAGCCCCCTTATGTTTCTTAACAGGTACTAAATATCAGAAATGAAATAGTGACAAAACTAGAGCTAGTAACTCCAAACCTCTAGACCAGATTTCTGGTATGATTTACTTCATGAAGACTCACTGGGATTCCCTGAAGGGGTCAGGAGTAAGGACTGGAGTGAAAGATGCAAGTATTTCTTTTCTTTTCTTTCTTTCTTTTATTGTTTTTTTTTTTTTTTGGGTCCAGTCGTGGAGCCTGAACTCTGGGCCTGGGCGCTGTCCCTCAGCTCTTCAGCTCAAGGCTAGTGCTCTACCACTTGAGCCACAGCACCACTTCCGGCTTTTTTCTTTTTGCTTATGTGGTGCTGAGGAATCGAACCTAGGGCCTCATGCATGCAAGGCAAGCGCTCTACCACTGAGCCACCTTCCCAGCCTGCAACTATTTCTTGTAGGAGAATTGTTTGCAAAGTCAGGCTATGTTCTGGACCCATCATTATAAGGGAGAGAAGGAAAGCAAGCCTTTCATCAACACATTTACTTATTCACAATGTGGAGCCTTCTTTTCAGATTGTTTCATGTTTCTCTATTTTTCTTGTCCAATTTCTACCTGACCTAGGAAACTACATAACTTTTTCAAGATGAACTAAAAATTACTCTTTCCTTTGTGGAGGCTTTCCAATATTCCCATCCAAGTTCTGTCAACTACCAAGTTTTTACTTTCTACTAATCTCTGCACAGAGATTTATTATGGTTTTTATTGTTATATTCTGATTGTATCTTTACATGTTTTATTCCTGGCATAGGAGTGTGAGCTTCTGGAGCAGAAGAAATATTTCCCCCCCCAATAAGACTGCAGAAAAAAATATATATTTATGCATCAATTTTGGACACATAGGTAATGTGTTAGTAGTTTTTATATACTTGTGAATCCTTAATCCTTTACAAATATATGCTGAGCATAAATTTTTAATGGAAATAAGCCTAATGATATTGCTACCGAATTAGCATAAGACAAGGAATTTCAATGCAACTAACAGAATTTTACCAGGCTACAGAAATGTTCTTTTATTTTACTCAGAACCTATTGTATTTCAAATTTCATCTAGCCAATGTCCACTTTTTGCTCAAATTGAGGAGAGGGTATTTCCATGTGTCCAGAGGGAAATCGGTGAGGACAATTGAATCAGATAGGCAGACAGAACCAAGGAATGATGAACAGTTCACCCAGCCCTCTGAAGAGTCAGACTGAGAAGTTGCTGTGTCCCTCAGTCATGGCTTTGCACTTCCTGAAGTCAATTAATCCTTAGGTCGTCTGGTTATCTTTGATCCTTTTCTATGGCACACGCTTGTTGAATAACAAGTTCTATGATGTATGCTTAAGCATTTTGGGTTGAGTTTCTTCATATTTACAATCGTGGATTAGGCAATGTTATCCATGTCATAGGAAGCTAAATGTTAAGAGTTAAGAAAAAGTGGCCAATATCTACTGAGTGGCTCATATATTGTAGTCATGGAGTTTGAATCTCCGGTGTCGGATTATAACTCCAGTCCTCAATTCTGATGAGCTCTTGTATGGAAAAATAACTGAACTGCAAAATATCACAAATATGAGTTTTGCTATTTTGTATTATCTAACATGTTGTATTCCTCAAAATTTTTCTCCACATATGATACAATAATTCTCATAGGTATTCTGAAATGTAGACCTGGAAAATTGCTATGCCTGTCTTGGACATCTTGCTTTAGGGATGATGAAACCAAAGTTCAGGGGAAATGATTTATTTGTGTTTTGTCTCTTCTAAGATTCTTCAGCAGTATATTTGTGTCATCTTAAAATCCCTGTGATAAGGCTTATGTACTCCAGTATGAAGCACATACCTAGTTCTCTATCCTTATCACACCCCAGGCTTCCTCTTGTTCTATATTCTTTTTTTAATTTTTTTTTTTTGGTTGGTTGTGAGGCTTGAACTCTGCTCCTGGGCACTGTCCCTCAGCCTGGGTGCTGTCTCTGAGCTTTTCTGCTCAAGGCTAGCACTCTACCAGTTTAATCCACAGCTCCACTTCTGGTTTTCTGGTGGCTAATTGGAGATGAATCCCATGGCCTTTCCTGCTTGGGCTGGCTTTGAACAGCATTCCTCAGATCTCAGCCTCCTGAGAAGCTAGGAGTACAGGTGTGAACCATCAGTGCCTGGCTTTAATGATGTTTTAAATGGGAAGACGTTTAATGGTTATTTAGGTGATCATTACCAAATAGATATCCAAGCCACATACCCTATATGTTATACTCCATCACACATTTGTAGTTTCTATATCACTCAATTGATTTTTAAAATTTTATGGTTATTTCCTTCCCTGATGACTTTCTCTTTCTCTCATTAGACAGCAAGCCTCAAGAATCTGGCAGCCCATATGGTTTTGTTTGTTAGCACAGAACTCTCACATAGTGCAAATGTCTGGCATAGAGCAAATTTCCAGTCAATATTTGCTTGTTTTAATGAATAAATAAGAGAATGAATAGCCAAGTCTATAAACACATGAAGGAAAAGGAAGGAAAGGAGTTGTGTTCTCCAGCCTTTGAATACTATAATAGGGAGCTGGTTTGGAAAAGGCAGGGAAGGGGGCTGGGAAGGTGGCTCAGTGGTAGTAGAGTGCTTGCCTTGCATGCATGAGGCCCTGGGTTCGATTCCTCAGCACCACATAAGCAAAAAGAAAAAAGCTGGAAGTGGCGCTGTAGCTCAAGTGGTAGAGCGCTAGCCTTGAGCTGAAGAGCTGAGGGACAGCGCTCAGGCCCAGAGTTCAAGCCCCACGTCCAGACCCTCCTCCCCCCCCAAAAAAAAAAAAGAAAGAAAAGGCAGGGAAGGAGGCCTTACCCCAGATAGCAATGAATTACACACATGGGGTAAATCTGATGCAGATTTGGTTTATGAGTGATTGGTCTATCACAGAAGACATTTCCCAGAAAGGTTTGATTAGATTTCTAAAGAATGATTTTTTTAAGCCAGGTTAAGGAAATTCAAGTATTTAATTTAACCTTATCCTACTTAAAGAAGTCTGGCAAGGACACCCAGAAACAAATGTGCCCTTGTAGCTTCGTATGATGGTATACATAGGGTTAAGGCTGATGGACCTCTTTTCATTCATTCACTTTCTCTGACCAATGTACCTTACCTGTATACTCTTCTTCCCACCTTCAATCCCAAGTTAAATGGCCCACAATCTCATCATTTTATTTCTTTATTTTGAGGGGAGAAGTACAGGGCTTCAGACTTGCTAGGCAGGAACTCTACTGGTCAAGTCATACCTCCAGCCCTTTTTGCTTTGGTCATTTTTTTTGTGGGTTGTGGGGCTTGAACTCTGGGCCTGGGGGCTGTCCGTCAGCTCTTCAGCTCAAGGTGAGTGCTCTACCACTTGAGCCACAGCACCACTTTTGGTTTTCTGGTGGCTAATTAGAGATAAGAGTCTCACTGACTTTCCTTCCCAGGCTGGCTTTGAACCTTGATCTTCAGATCTCAGCCTCTGGAGTAGCTAGGATTACAGGCATGAGCCACCAGTGCCTGGCTTGCTCTGGTCATTTTTGAGATAGGTTCTTATTTCTTTATCGAGGCCAGCTGGGATTGATCCTACTATTTATGCTTCTCACCAGAGCCAAGATGACAGTTGTGCACTACTACGTCTAGCCTTTTCTCTTGAGATACAAGTTTGCAAACTTTTTGGCTTGGGTTAACTTGGAACTGGGATCCTGCTGATGTCAGTATTTCCTGTAGCTGGGATGACAGGCTTGTGCCACTGGAGTCTGGCTAATCAGTTCTTTCAGTTTCTTGAGGAAGCTGGTTGTCTGTTGTTCTTGCTGTCAGCTTATACTACCACCTCTCTTCTGTCTTTATCCTCTACAGATTTCTCAAGACATCTCACTAATCTTAATCTTCCTACATCACCATTTTAAATTGGTTCGTCCCTGTTATAGTCCATCAATGCCTGGTGCTGGAAGGAAGGAATGGATAGAGGAGGGATGGGGGAGAATGTTGAAAGGGGTGACATGATCCAGATACCTTGTATTCATGAACCGCTTTCTGCAATGGCAGTTCCTCTGTACAGCTATGTAAAAATAAAAAATACTTTCTGTATTAATTAATTAATTCATTAAATTTTTTACTTTTTGTATTTACAAGCTATCCCAAACTGCTTTTATATGCAACAATGACCAAACATACATTGTAGACAACCAACCAAATTTCAGGACCTTGTTTGTCACTTGTGTTCAAAATCAATGCTCTTTTTTTCTTGCCCTGAGTCAATTACTTTTTGAATGCTTGTAATTTGGCTTCACCTGCTAAATGAATTTTGATTTAGGGAAAATTTAGGTCTTCCCCCCCTCTCCCCACTCCCGTCAGTTGTAGAGTTTGAACTCAGGGCCTGGATGCTGTCCCTGAGCTTTTGTGATCAAGGCTAGGACTCTACCACTTTAAGCCACAGCTCTACTTTCAGATTTTTTGGTGGTTAACTGGGGATAAGAATCTCAAGGACTTTCCTGCCCTGGCTGGCTTTGAATTGCAATCCTCGGATTTCAGTTTCCTGAGTAGCTAGGATTACAGGTATGAGCCACCAGTGCCCAGCTAAGATGTAGTTTGTTGAGTGGTCAAAAGATTGCATGAACAGTATACAACCAATTACTTTAATCTTGATTTTAGAAAAAAACCTTTAAATAAGCTTTCAAATTACAGCCAACTTTCTCACATACAAATGTGTCTTCCATACTCATACCCAGTGAGTTCTACATCCTCTTGCCCATTTCTGCTTATTTGAACTTTCTGGGGGTTTATCTCAATTCTTCATTTTTACAACAAGTTAGGACAAACCTTACTCTTTAAAAGTCCTTTTTTATCCAAAGGCATTTTTCTTTCCTTTAACTCTCTCAATTCCTTTATATCCTTTCAATCACACACACACACACACACACACACACACACACACACACACGTACTTTCTTTCAAGAGCCCGGTGAGAACCAACAGAAAATTCCTAAAGTCCACACTTCTACTACTTCCTCTGACTCCCAATCTCTTCTCCTTACCCAATATTAGAAACTTATTATTACTTCTCTCTTCTTCAATGGACTATGAGGTCTCAAAGGCAGAAAAATGAATCTTGCTCATTTCTAAAGCCTCTCAGCCTTAAATATGTATAAAAATAAGTGAATGACTGCTTAATACAATAAGAACAGAAAAATCTTTATTGGTAGTTACTTCCTATATAAATCTCTTAATGTATAATGACACTCATACTACTATAAGTGAGGTGCTATAATTATTCTAGCTTAATCATTGAAGGAATCAAATAGTAAACAAGTAAATAACTTATTCTTCTGCTTATCTAGCACTCTACAGACTTCTAATAATGAACTAATTACACATATTCCCATATATATAATATATTACATATTATATACATATATGTATGTATATGTATATATGTGTATATATACATACATATGTGTATATACATATATACACAAATTTGAAGTTTTGAAGGACAAAGCAATGTAGGAATCATTTTTGTGTTTCTGGTAGCTAACATAGGGCTAACAAAGTCAACATTTAGAAAAGTCAGCATTTAGAAAACATGTGAAATTAATGAGACAGTAAATACTCAAAAACAATTTTTCAGAGCTACTAATGTTCCCCAGTGGTAGAGTGCTGGCCTAGCATGTGAAAAACCCTGGATTTGATCTGATAGTAACCATGTTTCACTACAATGTGTCATCACTCTTCCTGAACGCTCTTAACGAAGCTATGAGTAAGGCTTCATCCATTTAGAAGTTTTGTTTGTCTGTATAACAAGCTCTGCACAGTGCTCTCAGCCTTGAAAACATTCAGTATCCTCAGTTCTGGCCTTTTCCTCTAAGCACCTTCAGCATGGCTTTCCTGATGTGCTTGAACTTGACACTGTAGATAATGGGATTGAGTACAGGAGGAACCACCAGATACACGTAGGCAACAAGAGAATGTACAATGTGGGGCAGGTGTCTTCCAAAACGATGGATCATGGATACACCTATGACTGGGATGTAGAAGACCAGAACAGCTAAGATATGAGAAACACAGGTGTTGAGAGCTCGAACACGCTCCCTAGGAGAAGCCAGCCCCATCACCGTGTGGAGAATAAGGGTGTAGGACAGGACAATGAGCAAGGAGTCTACACCCACTGTGGACAGAACCACATACAACCCATACAGGATGTTGACGGTAATGTCCGCACAAGCCCTTTTCATGACATCAGCATGGAAGCAGAATGAGTGCGACAAGAGAATCTTACCAGGGCAAAAGTTGAGTCGTTTCAGCAAGAAGGGTACTGGGAAGAGGGACAGAGTGGCTCGAGCCACAATGGCCATCCCAATCCTGATGATGATGTTATTTGTGAGGATGGTGGCATAGTGCAAAGGGTTGGAGATGGCCACAAAGTGGTCAAATGACATGGCCAGGAGGACCGAGGACTCGACCACAGAGAAAGAGTGCAAGAAAAACATCTGAATCAAGCAAGCGTTGAAGCCAATGAGCCGCTGGTCAAACCAGAGCACAGCCAAGGTGGTGGGGAGGGTGGACATGGTGAGGCCCATATCTGTGAGGGCCAGCATCGACAGGAAGTAGTACATGGGCTGGTGCAGGCTGGAGGTCCTCATGATAGCCAAGAGAATGAGGCAGTTTCCAGTGAGTGCCACCGTGTACATGGAAGAAAAGGGGATGGAGATCCAGCCATGAATGGCCTCTAGTCCTGGAATGCCAATCATGAGGAAAGCAGGTGGCTGGTAGAAAGAGATACTGACATTGTCCTGGGAAGAAAGCGTCTCTGAAGGCACCTGAGGGCTGTGAAGAGACATGACCACTTTAATGTGGTAGAAATCTAAAGGAAGAAGGCAAAGTTATTGGTTAAAAACAGCAGTTCTGTTATCTGCTGATATGGCTTCAAGCATACTACCAAATATGAGAAATTCGAAACAGATTTGAAAATATACTTCTACATAATCAAAAATAGTATTTCTAAAAGAACAAATAACTGTACTTAAACGCAGCGATTTCAAAATGATCATTTGATTGTGTGAAACACTGTTCTCTTCACAACTGAACAAAACACTCCTTTAAATCATTAAGCAATCCTGAAAAGCCCAGTGTAGAATCCTCTTTTTAATTAAGAAAGAGAGACATTATAGTAGTAAATAAGAAAACATACTGCAATAGCCCGAAAGGTAGTCCACATGGGCTTGAGATTGTTATTTTTCTTCTCTTGAATTCAGCTTTTAGCTCCCAATGCAAAAAGTAAACATAAAAATGAAAAACAAGGAAAAAGATGGCCTAAAGACAAAGTCAATCAACAAACTCCCAAAAGAACAACAACAATAGCAGTAAAATCAAAACACCATAAGGGAAATGGCTACTCTAATCTCTTTTAATAGAGATTGGAAAACCCACCCAAAATAGGCCGATTTTACTCTGGTGGCTAGAATTCACATTATGCCAAATCTAGACAATTTAGTCAGCTTACTCTGAAGGTAAGAATGACCAATTTTGTTGGAGTGGTGGTCGGGACAAGAGGCTAGTGATGTTGACAAGCATTTTGCCTACAGGGCAAAGATTGTGTAGATCTTATTTTGGTAGATTTTAAAAGGTACATAGCGAACTATAGGTACTAGGGGCATTGGATTAGCCATTTTCTTTGTTGTCTCTCATCAACTAATATTTATTAAACACACTCCACAAATGATTAACTACACTATAAAGAAATTTTAGCATGAACTTACATACATACATACATATATACATATATATATATATCTTAAACATTGAAAGGGATTAAACAAGTTAAAGATAAATTCTCTGAGATACGGAATCATTATGGGAAAGGGAATAACATTCTATATGAATTTTTCTAAATACTTTCAAAAATTGAAGGAATCATCAATCACGTTAAAGTATGTGATATTAGAGACTAAGAATGAGTTGATAATTAGAGAGAAAATGAAAATCAAAGTGGTAGACCACTTTTGCTAGACCATCTACCATCAGTGAGAACAATTATAGCAATGGATTCAAACACACTAAGTGTGTGCCCATTAGTAACCTCTAATGAGTCAGTGGTGCTAGCTAGTTGGTACTATGAGAACTGTTAAACAACCTGATTTTATTCTGTAACCAGTCACATGCTATGAACAAAAAAATAGATGAGGAAAACTTTTCTGTTTACAGAAGTTTTATGGCTAAACAATATGATTGTAGTAAAGTATTAATGTTTAAAAACCCAGTGAGAAACTCATCTTGGGCTAATAGCATGATAAAATAAGCAAGCACTGCATATTTTACAAAAATAATAAGCCTACCTCATAATTAGCTACAGGCCTACAGAAATTAAAAGAGACCTAGGCAGGGAAGGAAGTTAAAAAGATGCATAAATACATTGTGTCTTTGAATGAAGATAGCAAAATGACAACTCACTAAAAGCTGCTGGGGGGGGGGGATGGGAAAAGAGAGAGTAAACAAGGGGGTAACTCTGATGGAAACCCTAGTGAACAATTAACATACACTATAAAATGAATGACAGTAATATAAACTCCTGTGCAGGGGTTGGGTACAACTGAGAAGGTGAACAGAGAGCGTGAATATAGCCAAAATACTTTATGTGTGTGTATGAAAATGAAACAATAATGCTTACTGAGATTTGCTTCAGAAGGGGAAATAAAGAATAAAGGGATTAAGGGAGGAGATGAGTCACATTTAGTACATATATAGACATGTACAACACTTGTACAACTCACTGATGCTAATAAAAATGTGGTAAAAAATGCCAGCAGATATAGTCTCAAAAATCCAAATTAAAAACTATCTTGGGGTAGGAGAAAAATACCAATTTCTTTCTCAAGTAAAACATAAATACATAAATAACAAATAAATATGAAAAACCTCTGGAACTAAAGAGGTCTGACAACTCAAAGGCCACGTGTGAATGTTGTTAGGATTTTGTCTTGTGAAACCAAATGTAAAAAGTAAACAAATGAACAAAAATACAATTTACAGAATGTTTGTGGAAATGTGTAAAAATACTGGTTGTATTGGTGTGTATGTACCAGTCCTAGAATTGAACGCAGGTCTAGGATCTGTCCCTGAGCTTCTTTTGCTCAAGGTGAGTGCTCTACCACTTGAGCCAAAGCTCTACTTTTGGCTTGTTTGGTATTTAGTGACGATAGGACTAGTTAAGTTTTTATGATGACAGTTTTGAATGATTATAATACTGTACCTTATCAGCAGCTGAAGAGATAGAAGAGGTAGAGAGAAGCTAAAAGTAGGAAAAATGCTAAGAAACTATAGAAATAGTCTACTTTCTTATAGAGAGGGCACAGATCCATTTGAAAATGACTAACAAGTGAGAGCAGATAATAGTGAACATGAGGAGTGTGATTAAAACCATGATGATTATGAAAGGAAAAGGTATAGTCTCCTGTCCTGGCTGTGCCTTCCACTCTTGCAGAAGATAAATTACTTTCTGAAAAATTTCTACCAATAAGACTGTAAAGCCGGAGATGCCAGAGAGAAATGGAAAGAACAATAAAGAAAACAAGCACTTTGAGGAGAAGGAGACTGCCTAGCTCTCTTTACTCCACTCAGGGCCAGGAAATCAGATTTCTTTTATATCACCCAATGGACATCTCGAGGAGCCCTGGCAGCCTGAAGAGTGTGACTAGGAATCACTCCACATAGGTCATCTCAGATGATGACCCTAGGGCTCAGATGACCTCAGAATAGGGAGCTGGGCACATTTGCTCATCTATCTCTGAGATTCTACTCTATCTCTCTCTCCCAGGAAATGGTGTCAGATTCCAGTTTGTATCTGAGCTGTCAACTCCAGTAGCTTGAGAAGGGTGCATCTTTCAGTACCTCTTCTTGATGAGAACAGACTCGTCTCATTGCCCTAGAGTGAGTATTTTGCCTTGTTCTGCTTTATACTCAGCCTCTACTTAATGATATCTCCATCTGGGGCTGAGATGTTGGCAGTCATCTGACTTGAAAGTGGAGAAGGAGAGTATTGGGGTACCAGGTACTCACGCTGCCTGTTGTCCCCAACTGTAGGAGCCCAGGATGTCTGCAGCAAGACACTGCAGCAAGAGATTTAGAGTACTGTACTTTAGAAAGAGTGCCTGTCTCCAAGGAAGGCCAGATTTAAGCCAGAAGGGATTATCTCATTCAGATCCTTGGGGAAAGTTGTGGCTGCCTTGAAATCCTTGCAGAAACTATACCAAAAGAGGGAAAGAGAAGTACAGAATCATAGACTATGCAGTATCCCATTGAAGTTAAGTATTGGCTTCAGAGATTACCAGCATCAATGAATTTGAAACTGGAATCATCTGAACTTGATCATCTGAACCATCTGAATCTGAAATCTTTCGATGATTCCAAAATTCCTAAGCCTCCTCTGAGCAGACTCAGGATGAATCCTGTAGGAGTTAGCAATGTTTGAAGAGTGTTAGTTGTGTTGTAGAGGGATGTGGTTGGTAGCCCTGTGGTTGCCTAATCCAGCCCAAGAAAACTAAGGACACTTGAGAGAAAATGGAGAGCTAATAGAATTCTGAGAGCCCCCAGTCCTGTGCTGAATGCTCAGTTCTCATTCTGGGATAGATACAGACTGGAAAGCTTGAATACCCAGACCATGGCTACCACTGATATTTTCCATTTCAGTTTGATGTGTAGAGTCATTTCTAATTTTATGGTAATTGACAGTCCTAATAGATCAGCTAATTTGAAACTAACAATCTTGCTATGTAAAAGGAAAAATGGGGTTTGTGTTCAGTAAGTGTTTAAAAAATGGAAATTTTGACTTACAATGCTTGTTTTATATAAGGCAGTCACTCTGGATTCACATTATTCTCTGTTTCTCTCCCTGTATCAGTGCTCTCTCCATTCTATTGTATGTCTTTGAGAACCTCAGTAATAGGTCTTTCTTAAATGAAATGGCATCTATGGTTATTCATTCAAGATTACTTCCTGACAAATGAGACAAATTTACACTTTGCTTTGTGCTGTCTTTTTGAGAAGATAAGTAAACTTAGAGAAAAATCAAAGAAACTTTAAAATTTATATTGAGGAGTTGAGACCTTAGCATGACTTCATAAATTTCTTCCCCAGTTTTTTTTAAGATAATCACTTCATTTTGAACAACTCGCTCCCTTTATGTTCAGTAACAGATTTGGTGTGTTTTTTTCCACATCACACAGACAATGGAGTCTTCAAGTGGGCCTTCTTTATCTCAAATACCTGCTATCTTTTTTTATTAATTTTTATTGTAAAAATATTGTACAGAGGGGTTACAGTTACATGTGTAGGGTAATGAGCACATTTCATAGTGAGCATTGTTACCTCCTCCTTTATTTTCCCCTACCATCACTTCCCTCGCCACCTCCCCAATTCTTCCACGCCCCACCCCCGACACTGTAAAGCTAATTTTCAATATAGTGTTCTGTATAGCTTGTTGTCACAATGGGTCAGCCTGCATCCTCATTTAAGCTTTCTGTAATATCCCTTCCCCTCCCAAATTACAAAAATATATATACAAGGTGCAGAGCATCAGCATCAAATTCAGTGAAAAGAGGGGTTATACCATAGGGTGAGAACATACAACAGAAACAAAAGAATCACATAGTGTATTGTAAGTACATTAAAAACACTAGCAAGAAAGAAAAAAAAAACCTCCTGTGTCCCTGTCTTGGGGTACATTTTGCTTAACATTATCTCATATGGTCATATATGTACATAACCTTTGACCTACTCTGCTTGTCCTAGACATGTACTAGTCACTGCAAACAAAGGAAACCATGGGACCTATATTTCTTTGGGC